CCAACGGAGAAAATTTTGGTCAAATTCAAAGTTATATTTTTGTTATTTTTAGCCCTATCTGCATGAATATTAGTATATAATTATATCAACTTTAATTCGTAAACTCAGCTTTTTATAAACTTTAGTATTTGGCATATTATACAGGGTTAATCGAGGGGTTGTTTTTTTACCTTAACTTTAAATTGTGCCATAATTTCGTCTGTAAATTTTCCTAAAATATAATTTTACGGCCAGATCCATAACTCATGAGCATTTTGTTTTTTTTGATTCATGTCATACATGCTTTGATTAATTTTTAAAATCGAAACGAACTGATAACAATCAATTTGCAATTTTTTTAATTATTATTATTTTTGATGTAATTCTTTAGTATTACGAGATAGTTTTGGTGACTATTGTCGTAACGTCATATTACACTGCATTAGAGAAGTACTCTATACTAAATTTAAAAAAAAAGTTAAAGACTAACGATACAGTCCGGGTTTTAATAAACATTAATAACGATAACAGAATTAACGATATTGAAGAAAACATCTGTAATACTTTTTTTTGTTTCTACTTTATATTGTTGTATTGCGGCCCTTGGCTACTATGACTGCCTGTATACGTCCGTTTATACTGTCATTGAGACTGCATATATCATATTGCGTTGTTTTTCCATTCTTCTTTAAGGACCAAGCGAAGTTCATTTAATGCTTCGTGACCTCTAACCCTCCTGCCAAGCATTTGCTAAACGTCGAACATGATGGGCAGTTCATATATTAGTATATAGTTTAGTAGTGGGAACTATCGAATGAATACTATCGAAACATTCGATAGTTGCAATTCATTCGAATAATTCGATAGTTAGTAAGAAAACATTCGTTGAAAACTATTCGAATAAAAATTATCGAATAGATCCGTCATCTGGCTTGAAATATTGTATTCTAGTAATTCGGCAGCAAAAACCATTCATTTATAAAATTCATTCATTTATGAAATTCATTTATTCGTCAGGATCGATTATAATAAAATATTAACTGAATTTTAGTTGTCGCCCGGCGACGTAGGTTTCTTTCCGAGAAACCCGACAGCGGTCGGTGGCAATCTTTGGTGGCAATGCTATGAAAGAAGCCGGCATCTTTGATTTTTTGCGGAGTCAGATATAGATAAGGACACATTATTTTTTTTATTGAGGTGCTAGTATTTACACAGAAAATACATTATGAAGGGCGCTGTTGCCATACTTTGGTATTAGTTGATATTAGCAAAGAATATTATTGTTTGGCTTTAGTTAGTTAGGGATAGTATGTCTATCATAGATGTCTATATATTCTGCATTTTTTTTATTAATATTCTGTTGTTACACTGCAATAATACTTGTTATTTTGGATGTAAGAAAATTATTTTTAATGTTTTTAAGCAAAGACTGGTTTAATAAATAATAATAACAGTAATAATTTGTTTGGTTTGGTTTGGTTTGGTTTGGTTTGGTTTGGTTGTTGATATTACCTATTAACAACAAAATTTAAAATGATTTAATATAAATATTTTTTTAAGTAGTAGCAAAATATAAACAACAAATTAGATGTCAAAATTATTTATATTAGATCCTATTTAAAAATAATCAAGTCTCTAAATTTTTTGGCAACGTTGGTTTATTAAATAATAATAATTACAGAACTAATTTGATATATATAAAAACAAATATTAAAATCATGAAATATAAACAATTATTAACTTTCTAAGCATGCAGTGTAATGGAACGAAAATATAAATAAAAAATTAGAAATCAAAATTATTTATATTAGGTGCTTTATATTACTATTTAAAAATTATATTTACTTTTACTGCAAAAAACTACATGTAAGAGAATTAGCATAAACAAAATACAAGCATTGTTAACTTTTTTTTTTAAATTGGCACGTGTAAAACTTTCATTTTAATTTTCTCACCCCATAGTTTGAGTTCGATAACCACACATTTACTTAACCACATTACTTAAATATGATTATTAAGTTCAACTAATTCATATTATTAAAACATCTAAAATACAAATATGTATTTTTAAAATTAATTGTAAGTTCATCTCATCTCTCTTAAAAATTGCTATTTCTCAAAATTTCCCACTAAAAAATAGACCATATACCATATAAAATTAAATAATTGAAAGATCGGACTACGGAAAACCACACAAATTTTCGGAAAAATTTTGACCACCTGCACATGCAAACAATCGTCAATAAATAAAATTAAAAAATAACTACTATTTTAGTATTTTAACCATTTTAATAAACGCAAAAATAGCACAGTATTTATACGGCGAAGTTATAAAAATTTGGAAGAACTAATAATGCACTGACGCATACAAAAATCAAACGAATACTAAATTTCATTTATCAAAAGAATTCGATAGTCGTGGCGCAACGATAACCATTTGGTCGCACGGCGAGGTTGTCACATATGCTTTAGTATACAAATGAATGAATGATTTTATTCGAATAAAACCATTCGATAGTTGAAATCATTCATTCATTAACCATTCGATAGTCTAATTCATTCGATAGTTCCCATCGCTAATATAGTTCACAATAATCACCAAAACCGCCTTGTCACATTGAAAAATAACTTCAAAAAAGAAATGATAATTGAAAAAAATGTGCAAAATGTTGGTGGCAAGCTTATTTTGCTTTTACAAATTAACCAAGACATGTATTGACATGATCCAAAAAATAAAATGCTCAGGAGACATGGTTCTGAGCGTAAAATTATATTTTAGAAAAATTTACACATGAAATTATTGCACAGGGTGTTTTAAATTTAGGGTAAAAAAACAACCCCTCGATTAACCCTGTATAATATGCCAAATACTAAAATTTATAAAAAAAACTGAGTTGACGAATACAGGGTGATATAATTATACAGGGATGTTCACCACATACGACACGGAGTATTGTAGCTAAACGACTAGATTTATACAAATTGTAAGTTTTGGGTCCGTTGAAGGACTATTAGAGCTACAATTTAAAAATATTTTTACAAGATACAGAGTGTCCCAAATAAATAAAAAATATCAAAGTTGTATTTTTTTAAATGGAGCACCCTGTATATTATTACATTTTTAGTTTCTACGATTAAAATAAAGGTAAATTTGATAAAGGTTTATTACACTTAAACTTTACAGTTTTTGAAATATTTTCAATTTTGTGAAATTGCAGTCAAAATTTTAAGGCTTCATTTCTCCAAGGATATCAAAGTTTTTAATACAAAATATTTACTGAAGTTTATTTATTGATCAGATATTGTGCTGCAATAATTAAAATTATACTACCTTATACAGAGTGTCTAAAATTTTATTTTAAATAATTACTAGCTTTAAACGGCAATAACTTGTTTAATTTAAATGGAACACCCTGTATATTTTATAAGAATAAGATGCACAATTTAATTGTCTATCAAATTGTATTATACCATTTTTTACCTATAACTTCAAGTTTCCGTAGAAAATGCATTTTCTTGTAATTTTAAATTCATTGAACAATATACCCATGTAATACTGACATTTTAGATTATTTTTAAAGATGTACCAAATTTTTAAAGAGTACAAATACTAATATTGTCGATGTAATTTGTTTATTTTATTAAAAAATAAAAAAAACTGTTTAAATTGTTTAAATATTTGTTAAAGAGGACCAATTAATATGATTCCAGTACTCAAATTACATTAATTGACTGTTTGCGTTGATTAATAATAATTGCTCCAAAAACTAAAAAACTGAATTTTTTATGTGTATTAGACAGTGTGGTAAAAAGTAACACCTTAAAAATTATATTTCATTTTTTGACAAATGCTTATTTGTAACAACAGAGACATTCATTTTTATAACTTATTATTATATTGATTTCTGATTCAAATCCACATTTATTTAGAATCATTTATTCACGAACATAATTAAGTATGTAATTAATTAGTATTTGGGCGGAAATAATGGTGGTATATTTAATTAATGGTATACACTTTTATGAAGATTTAAATAGTTTTCTTTTTGCATACAAGGCTTTAGGGCTAGTAATATTATCATTTTGTTAAAAACGTACATTTTGTACATTTGTTGCTTTAAAAACAATCTAAAATATCAATATTCCATGGGTATATTGATAAATGAGGTCTAAATTATAAGAAAATGCATTTTCTAGGAAAACTTGAAGGGATAGGTAAAAAGTGGTATAATACAATTTGATAGACAATTAAATTATGCATCTGATTCTCCTAAAATATACAGGGTGTTCCATTTAAATTAAACAAGTTATTGCCGTTTAAAGCTAGTAATTATTTAAAATAAAATTTTAGACACTCTGTATAAGGTAGTATAATTTTTATTATTGGAACACAATAACTGATCAATAAATAAACTTCAGTAAATATTTAGTATTAAAAACTTTGATACCCTTGGAGAAATGAAGCCTTAAAATTTTTACTGCAATTTCACAAAATTGAAAATATTTCAAAAACGGTAACGTTTAAGTGTGATAAATCTTAATAAAATTTACCTTTATTTCAATCGTAGAATCTAAAAATAGAATAATATACAGGGTGTTCCATTTAAAAAAATACAACTATAGCATTTTTTACTTATTTGGGACACTCTGTATCTTTTAAAATTATTTCTAAATTGTAGCTCTAATAGTCCTTCAATGAACCCAAAACTTAAAATTTGTAAAAATCTAATCGTTTAACTGCAATATTCCGTGTCGTATGTGGTGAACAACCCTGTATACAGCTTGCTAAAAAATTCATGAAAATAGGGATAAAAATTAAAAATAACAAAAATATGACACTTAAAATTTGACCCAAAATTTTCTCCCTCGCGTTTTTTTGCAAAAAATTGCCGACGTTTCTACGTGTATTTTCATCTTTATCAAGGCTATTTTTTACCTTGTTAGTCGGCAATTTTATAAATAAAAGGTTGTTTATTTCTTGCTGTCCTAAACCTGCGAACATCATTTTATTATTTTCTTACTTGAGGCATATATCCTACTCTTGGTCCTGGTACTCCACTCCCTTTTTCTCCTGGTGTTCCTCCCAGCACCCATACCTCTCCAGATTGTATACTCTTTCTGCCTACTATACAACTTAATAAAGTAGTTTTCCCGCAACCACTCGCACCTAGCAATCCATATCTAAAAAAATATATGTTACATTATCCTTAGGGCATTCAATCCCGGGATCCCGGGATTGAATGCACTAAGAATAACATTCCCCGACGCTTTTTCGATCTCAAAATTCCGGGATTGTAATTTATTTAAACCCGAGATTTTCGGTGTTCATCTTTACTGAGAAAGAAAATGTTTTCTTTAAAGAAAAATTTAAAGAAGCTCTAGAAAATATTCCAAACCCCAAAAACCAGTAATAAGTTATGAAAATATTGCAACCTGGAGAATGCTGCACTACATCAGAACAGGGGTTGCCCCAGTAAAATCAATTCTGATCAAATGAGATTTGCTGGACAGAAATAACGACAAATGAGACTGCGGCGCCTTTCAAGATATGGAACATCTTATTCAATGTCCTGCCCACCCCCACATATGTCCAGTGCTTTCATTTTAATTTGTCCCACTTTTAAAAGGCTGTAAAATATTGATTTTTTGAGTTAAAAGGTGGAGTGAAAAATTAAATTATAGTGTTTTTCCTTAAGTTTTATGTCGTTGAGTTAAAAAATGTATAAACTGTCAAATGTCAAAATTATTGACATAACTTATTTTTTTTAAATGGTGCACACTACACAGGGTGTCCCAGAAAAAAGTGCAAGTATTTTAAGGGGTGGTAGTTCTTGATAAAAGAAACATATTTTCTCTTTATCGGTTTTCAAATAAGTCTAAAATAACAGCAATGTTCCGACAAATCCGTGGAAAGCATTGTATGGAAAGTCATGGAGGCCAGGCAGGACACGTAAGAAGTCACTGTAAAGAAAAAAACGTGGACCTGGTTTCACCAAGTGTCGAATCAAAGGGACACATATGGAGCAGTACCCAATAGGTTCCAACGAAAACTGCTCAAGTCGCATCACTACAACACAAGTTCAACAGCATTTTTGTGGATGGTTTCGTGGATGGAGAGTTACGGACCATGTTGTTGGATACGGGTGCGACCAAAACGATCATCAGGCCGGATATCCTTAAAACATCAAGAAGGATTAAAACAACACAATGGCGACTACGTACAGCTACAGGAAGCTCCGCTCTCATCCATGGAGAAGTAAACCTTAATTTTGTTATCGGAAGCACCTGTTTTAATCATCGAGTGTTAGTAGCAGACATCGAAGATGAACTTATTCTCGGAATGGACATCATGACCACTAGAGGTTTTGAACTAAACCTCAAACAAGGAATTTTGAAAATAAATGAAGACCACTTGTTCTTCATCGAAAATGTGAGAAGACGCTTCGCGTGGTAGTAGCAGAAGATGTTTCGGTCCCTGAGCGCTGTGAGATATTTTTGAATGGTTGCCTGGAAGGTAAAATGAATAATGGGAGTATTATTCTGTTGGAGCCAAGGAACCATGACAGCGAAATAGGACGAGGGGTCGCTGTTGGAAAAGCCCTGCTACGAGCGAAGAAGTCTGTACCGGTAAGAGTAATGAACACAAATTATTATTCTGTATCCTTGAAGAAGGGAACCCTGTTAGGGTACTGTTGTTCGGTCTCCTTAGTCATTCGAAGCGTGGAAGCCTCCAAAGTTTCGACTTCAAAAATTCCGGACAAAATGGTGAAGGAGTTAGTAAACGTTAAGGGATTATCTCCCGAAGATAGTAGAAAATTGAGAAACCTGATAATCAAGTATCAAGATGTGTTTGATAAAGGAGAAGCAGGACCTAGAGGTCGTACCAACTTAGTACAACATAAAATTGACACCGGAGATGCACGACCAATCAAACAAAATCCGAGAAGACTTCCACTCGCCAAACGTGAAGAAGCTGACAAAATCCTTCGAGAAATGAAAGAAGAGGGTGTCATCGAACCATACCTTTGAGAGACTAATGGAGTCTGTGTTAAAGGGACTATCCTGGACTACCTGTTTAGTGTACCTGGATGACATCATAGTGGTTGGGAAATCCTTTGACGATCATCTGAAGAATTTGGAAGAAGTTTTCAAGCAACTAGGGAGCTCTGGTTTGAAACTTAGCCCCGAGAATCATATGTGTCAAGAAAAGGTACTCTACTTGGGCCATGTAGTCTCCTCCCAAGGAGTTGCGGTAGATCCACAGAAGTCCAAGACAGTGGAAGAGTGGCCCATACCTAAAGATAAACATGAACTACGAAGCTTTTTGGGACTATGCACATACTATCGCCGCTATGTACAGGGTTTCGCCACCATCGCAAAACCATTGACCAGACTTACCGAAGGCGAGAGGCGTTTCTCTTGGGACTCAGATTCTGACGAGGCATTCCGAAAATTGAAGAAGGCACTGACTAGTGCGCCCATACTTAGCTACCCTCTAGGCAACGGAAACTTAATATTGGATACCGACGCTAGCAATGTTGCGTTAGGCGCTGTTCTGTCTCAGATCCAGGATGGTCAAGAAAAAGTCATTGGTTATTTTAGTAAGACCTTGTCAAAACCGGAAAGGAACTACTCTGTAACCAGACGAGAATTACTAGCAGTAGTTAAAGAAGTGGAACACTTCTACAAGTATCTCTATGGAAGAAAGTTCTTGTTAAGAACAGACCATGCTGCTTTGAAATGGCTTTGCAGTTTAAGAATCCTGAAGGGCAGGTAGCTAGATGGATTGAAGGATTACAAGAATTTGACTTCGACACAGAACATCGAACTGGGGCAATCCATCGGAATGCCGACGCACTTTCCAGAAGACCTTGCGCTAAGGACTGTAAGCATTGTTCCCGAGCAGAAGAGAAAGAAGCGAAACTCCTAAGAACAACTGTGGTTAATGATAGTTGGCAACCCGAAGATCTTGCAAATGACCAAACCAGTGACCCAGAATTAGGTTTAGTAATTAACTGGAAAAACGCAGGCCAAAGACCAACGTGGGAAGAAGTTTGCAGATATTCGCCGAACGTAAAGTCGTACTGGGCCCAGTGGAATTCCTTGGTAATAGATAACGGACTACTTCGCCGTGTGATCGAGAGACCGGAGGGACAAGAAGAGAGAAGGCAGATCGTCATTCCAAAGAAGAGCGTCCCAGAAGTCTTGGAGGAAGTTCACAATGGAACCAGCTGTGGACATCTTGGTGTTACCAAGACACTTGGCAAGCTGCGTGAACGGTTCTACTGGGTGAATTGCAAAGAAGATGTGAGGGCCTGGTGTAAGAAATGTGACATTTGCGCAGCCATCAATGGGCCACAAAAGCGTGGTAAAGCCCCTATGCGCCAGTACAATGTTGTCAGTCCCTTCGAACGAATAGCGATCGACGTGACTGGTCCTTTCCCGGAGACGAACGATGGCAACAAATACATTGTGGTAGTAATGGATTACTTCAGCAAATGGGTCGAGGCCTACGCGTTGCCAAATCAAGAAGCGTCCACCGTTTCTGATGCCCTTCTTAAAGAATGGATCTGCAGGTTTGGTGTTATGTACAGGGTTTCGCCACCATCGCAAAACCATTGACCAGACTTACCGAAGGCGAGAGGCGTTTCTCTTGGGACTCAGATTCTGACGAGGCATTCCGAAAATTGAAGAAGGCCCTGACTAGTGCGCCAATACTTAGCTACCCTTTTGGTAACGGAAACTTTATATTGGATACCGACGCTAGCAATGTTGCGTTAGGCACGGTTCTGTCTCAGATCCAGGATGGTCAAGAAAAAGTCATTGGTTATTTTGGTAAGACCTTCTCAAAACCGGAAAGGAACTACTGTGTAACCAGACGAGAATTACTAGCAGTAGTTAAAGCAGTGGAACACTTCTACAAGTATCTCTATGGAAGAAAGTTCTTGTTAAGAACAGAACATGCTGCTTTAAAATGGCTGTTGCAGTTTAAGAATCCTGAAGGGCAGGTAGCTAGATGGATTGAACGATTACAAGAATTTGACTTCGACACAGAACATCGAGCTGGAGCAATCCATCGAAATGCCGACGCACTTTACAGAAGACCTTGCGCTAAGGACTGTAAGCATTGTTCCCGAGCAGAAGAGAAAGAAGTGAAACTCCTAAGAACAACTGTGGTTAATGATAGTTGGCAACCCGAAGATCTTGCAAATGACCAAACCAGTGACCCAGAATTAGGTTTAGTAATTAACTGGAAAACCCCAGGCCAAAGACCAACATGGGAAGAAGTTTGCAGATATTCGCCGAACGTAAAGACGTACTGGGCCCAGTGGAATTTCTTGGTAATAGATAACGGACTACTTCGCCGTGTGATCGAGAGACCGGAGGGACAAAAAGAGAGAAGGCAGATCGTCATTCCAAAGAAGAGGGTCCCAGAAGTCTTGGAGGAAGTTCACAATGGAACCAGCGGTGGACATCTTGGTGTTAGCAACACACTTGGCAAGCTGCGTGAACGGTTCTACTGGGTGAACTGCAAAGAAGATGTGAGGGCCTGGTGTAAGAAATGTACATTTGCGCAGCCATCAATGGGCCACAAAAGCGTGGTAAAGCCCCTATGCGCCAGTACAATGTTGTCAGTCCCTTCGAACGAATAGCGATCGACGTGACTGGTCCTTTCCCGGAGACGAACGATGGCAACAAATACATTGTGGTAGTAATGGATTACTTCAGCAAATGGGTCGAGGCCTACGCGTTGCCAAATCAAGAAGCGTCCACCGTTTCTGATGCCCTTCTTAAAGAATGGATCTGCAGGTTTGGTGTTCCCATGGAGCTTCATTCAGATCAGGAAAGAAACTTTGAGTCCAATCTGTTCCAAGGCGTCTGTGAAGTCCTGAACATCCGCAAGACCAGGACGACTGCTCTACATCCACAATCCGATGGGATGGTTGAACGCATGAACAGAACTATCAACCGTTATCTGGCCAAAGTAGTTTCTGACCACCAAAGAGACTGGGACAAATTTGTTCACCTGTTCCTGTTGGCCTACCGTTAATCCGTCCAAGAATCTACAGGGCAAACTCCAGCCAGGATCGTTATGGGACGGGAAGTGCGCCTACCTTGTGATCTGAAATTTGGTTGCCGACCGGGAGAAGAAGTCGCCGGAGTAGATTATGTCCACACACTACGTCAAAGAATGGACGACATCCATCAGCGAGTCCGCCTAAATATTCAAAGTGCTAGTGACCGAATGAAGGAACCGGATTTTTTTTTTCCGGAAGGAATCTGCAAACCGAATGAAGAAAGCTGAGCATGGAGAATACCAACCAGGGAAGTTGGTGTGGCTATACAACCCGCAGAGACGTCGTGGGTTATCTCCGAAGCTACAATCCTCGCGGGAAGGGCCATACGAAGTCAGGGATAGGATTAATGACGTCGTATACCGTATCAGAAAATTGCCAAAAGAAAAACCGAGGGTAGTCCATTTCAACCGTTTGAGCCCCTACCAAGGCGAAATAGAAGATCGTGCTGGGACCGTGAGAACCTGCAGCTTTCATCCCCCTGACTCGGAGATGTCCTTTGACGATTTCATGGCCCGATACAACAGCAGTGAGAAGGCTCGCTATGGTGTAACCAAAGAAGATCAACGAGACCTCTTTTCCATGCCTCCTGATTATTCGCTCGCTCATTGTGTGGCCCGAGATTTGCGGATGTCCAGAGGAATCGCTGCAACGTTCAATGAGAAGTTTGGGCGTGTCGGAGAACTACGCCGACAGGATCCAGAGTTTGGAAGCATCTTGAGGCTAACCGACAATGAACATGGTCAAGCAAGGCACATTTTCTACCTGATTGAACTGAGAGAAGCCCTGCTAAACAACAACATTGCACCATTAGCCATTCCGAAGCTGGCGTGTGGACTCGATGGTTTGAGTTGGCGTACAATCCGGAACACGATTGAAGTCTTGTTCAGATTTACGGGAATCGAGATCCTTGTTTGCTGCTACAGCCCAAAGCTGAGATCGGGAGAGAAAACTGTAGACTGCTATTTCTACCAGACTTCTCAATGTACCAGGGGCCAGCTTTGCAAATACCTTCATTCACCGAGATCAACGAGACCTCTTTTCCGTGCCTCCTGATTATTCGCTCGCTCATTGTGTGGCCCGAGATTTGCGGATGTCCAGAGGAATCACTGCGACGTTCAATGAGAAGTTTGGGCGTGTCGGAGAACTACGCCGACAGGATCCAGAGGTTGGAAGCGTCTTGAGGCTAACCGACAATAAACATGGTCAAGCAAGGCACATTTTCTACCTAGTCACCAAGGAATGGTCTCCAAATAAGCCGACTTATCTCAATCTATGGAAGACCCTGATTGAACTGAGAGAAGCCCTGCTAAACAACAACATTACACAATTAGCCATTCCGAAGCTGGCGTGTGGACTCGACGGTTTGAGTTGGCGTACAATCCGGAACATGATTGAAGTCTTGTTCAGATTTACGGGAATCGAGATCCTCGTTTGCTGCTACAACCCAAAGCTGAGATCGGGAGAGAAAACTGTAGACTGCTATTTCTACCAGACTTCTCAATGTACCAGGGGCCAGCTTTGCAAATACCTTCATTCACCGTGTACATCTCGGGACGAGCATGTACCTAGGAAGGAGGCAGTGTTGCGGACCCGTATGGACTCGACCTAACCTAACTATATGTCCCGCCCTCAGATGACCTTAACATCGCATTAAAGAATAGACACCGTAATGATTCATTCGTTCGAGAAGAATCCAGTCCCACTGGAATGGAGTAGTACATACGAGAACATTCGAAACCTTCTCTATGCACCTAACGATCTATGGACTATTCTAGAGATCTTTAGCTGTCGGTATAAAAGCCGGCGGCTGTGGCCTAGAGAGGGCAGTTATAAATAGACGAGTGCAGTTGACGCGCTAAAATTCGAAATAAATTCTTAGTTATAAATCGTTTGTAAATAGTTCTATAAGTCTTTTATCGTTATTGTTTTTGTTAATTAGTGTTAAATAAATAGTGTTTAAATAAATTGTGACTTTCTATCCACACGGAACCGACGAAAAACGTAACAATATACTTAAAATTAAAACTATTTTAAAAGCCAAACGAGTAATTAATATAAGTGTATCTGACAAGAAACGAAGAATAGAAACAAATTATTATACACCAGAAAAAGAATGGGATGCCAATTAAAGTCTGTTTGAATCTAGCAACTGTGCATATTTAGCCGAGCTTTAAGGCCGTCGACGTGCCGTCGATCTACGTCGATCCAAAACCGAAAGTTGAAAATTTCCAATTATATTCTGATTATGATATTGTCGCGCCATCTAGTATTTTATTTGTGCGATTTTAGCTCTTTCATTTCGAGTATTTTTCTGTTGCGTAGCTAGATATTCTGTGACGGTACCCTCGACGACCTATAGCTAGCTAAACGGGAAGCATTGGACGACTTAGGCCTGTTCCAAACACCGGAACACCGTTTTAACACCGGTGTTGGGTTGACACCGGTGTTGACACCGACACCGGTGTTCATTTCGATACCGGTGTTCATCTACAACACCGGTGTTCATCTCGACACCAGTGTTGATCTGAACACCGGTGTTCATCTCGATACTGGTTTTGACTACAACACCGGTTTTGATATCGACACCGGTGTTTGGTAAACGGGTTAAAGAAGAAATAACATTAATTAATCAGTTCAAAATAAACCTGATAATAATAATGTCGTATCGGTGCTTATTTTCATCGTTCATTAGAGCGCACCACTTTAACTTAAAGCTTTCAAATTTAAATATAATTTTTTTACCAGATTAATCACTAAAATAAAGTCGTCAGAATATAAAAGTCAGAAATAGAAGCGTCAGATAAACAACTATAAAGTAAAAAAATTATTCAATCAGAAACAAACAGAAAACAAAACAAAACATAAAGAAGCAAAAATTCGTAGCTTATTTACATAAACAAAAAAATATTACTTTAAAAAACTAAAACAAACAAACGACACCATCCATCGACATCGACACAGACACCGGTGTCAAGATAAACACCGGTGGTGTAGATGAACACACGAGTCGAGATATACACCGGTGCTGAAATGAACACCGGTGATGAGATAAATACCGGTGTCGGTATTGACAGCGGTACACCGACTGAAACACCGGTGGGCATCAACACTTAACACCGGTGTTCAAATCTCAACACCGAACAGATCTATTGGACGTAGCCCATTACTGGGCCAACAAGCTGTAATCTGGAAAAAAGTATAGTAAGTATGAAAACAATGATTTGTTCAGAATAATACTTCGGGCGACTGATCCGATCAACGTTTTCATTTGTTTTTAGCATATGATATGCTATATGCTAATAAAGATTCCTCCAACCAGTGTCAAATCTGAGAGGACCTTTTCAATAACAGAACTATTACGTAGTGAAATATGGTTCAGTGATAATAGTGACAATACTATCTTTAGATTCACTTATTTTTTTAAGACATTTTTTTTAAAAAACAAAACTAGATAATTTTTTTATTCTTAGTGTTTGTCGGTTTTCAATTCATTCTAAATATTGACATATTTCACTTAACGTTTCGGGAAGTATGTCTCTTCCCGTTGTCGTCGGAAGCGAAAAAAACACAAAGAAACAAAGGAAAAAACTATTAAGAATATATGCAAGTATTCAAGAACACAGAGTTTTTATCCAAAAAATAACTATTTTATTTTGTAGATTTTCTTACAATACAAATGATGAAGTACCCACAGAACTTTTTTGAAGAGATTCAGTAATATTTAAGAAGTGGTAAAGAAAATACCTATAAACATACCGGGATTCCGGGGTAAAAAACATAATCCTGGAATCTCAGGATTGGAAATATAGTTATATTAACATCTACCAGATAGAAAAAAAATTAAAAAGTCGCGATATTAGGAAGTGAAAGAAAAAGAAGACAATAATATAGCAGAAATATTTTATTTTTCGCAAATCTATATTGAAACACAGATGTTTCTGTCTTGTTTCTGGTTTGTCGTGTTTATCTGAATCGAATATAATATTTAATAAAATATAGATTTTAAGCAAATAATCGAAGATTTGTTCACTACTGTAATAAAATTATCAATACGAGTTAGGTTTAGGTATACTTACATAGTGCCTCTTTCCACATTCATACACAGGCCATCCAGAATTCTTTTAGATCCATAACACTTAACAAGATTCTTGACACAAACCGCTGCATTAGGATCCATTTTCTACAACAAGAGAAATAACTTAAGATTACATTTTAAAAAGCTACTTGTAAGTTAATCGCATTTAGCAGAACTAATTGTTAATAATCGCTTTTCAAATTAAAACGTTTCTTAAAAAACACCACTAATACGAATAGAAAGGATTTTTTCGTCGATGCATATAGATAATCGGCCTTGAAAAAGTAATATAATATTTATTACGATTTTAATTTATTTCATTTGCGATTATTGTAAAAAATGTTACAATGCATGCGATAAAATTATGTAAATTGTATCTATTAACTGCAATTTGTTAAATGTTTTAATAGGCCGATAACAGTCATGAATTGGGCAATGTTGATAAGAATTGATATTACTCCTATATTGTTTTCTGTCAATCATAGTCTGGACAGTAAGGTTATTGACTACATAACGCATCAGACTGCGGAAATTACCGGGGAATTTCACTATTGGCTATCGGAGGAAAAATTCTTGCAAAAATTATGTCAAATCGCCTGCACCCACATACATATAGAAAAAAAATCCTTCCAGAATCGCAAACGGATTTTCGCACCAACCGTGGCACCGTCGATTCCATATTTTCCATCCGCCAACTATACAGGAAAAAGTAAAAAAGCAGCAGTCTAAGTTTAGACTGCTGCTCTTGATGAATGCAACATAAAGTTTTTAGTTGTATTCATCGATCTAACAAAAGCCTTCGACTCTGTGAACAGAGATGCACTTTTGGCAATTATGAAAAAGTTCGGAGTACCCAACAAATTTCTTACAGTGTGTAAAAGTCTCCATAACAACAACCAGTCAAAAGTGTCACATCATGGATCACTGAGCGATCCCTTCCTGACAAATACAGGAGTTAGACAGGGATGTGTCTTAGCGCCTCTCCTATTCAACATATTCATGGCAGCGCTCTCCATTATAGTGGACAGCAAACTGCAGGAGAGAGAATTGGGCATTAGATACAGATATGACGGCGGTCTGTTCAACATAAAAAGACTCAGAGCAAAATCACGTATAAAATTCATCACAGAACTTCAATACGCTGATGACTGCGCTCTAGTTGCGAACACGTTACAACAATTACAAGAAATGTTGACCACATATACCTGGAAATACGAGGCTTTGGGCCTTAAGCTAAACATCGACAAAACCAAAATCATGTGCACTCCCTCGGAAGATCATAACAATGCTATAAAAATCGGAGAAGAACTATTGGAATATGTAGCGGAATTTAATTACCCCGGCGGCAGTTTGATTTCGGAAAAGGCCAATATCGACTCTGAAATTCAGCACAGGATTAGCAGCGCCTCAATAGCATTCTGAAAATTAAAAGACAGGGTTTTCTACAATCATGACTTGAGTACAAAAACGAAACTTGCAGTGTACCGAGCAATTATAATCCCAAACATGTTATATGGGAGCGAAACCTGGGTGCCGTACCGCCGACACATGAACGCATTAAACAAGTTGCAACAGAAACACCTTAGACAACTCTTAAGGATCCGGTGGTTCCATCATGTCTCAAAATTTAAAGGCTTGCTGAGTTTTTTGTAAAAAACGAATTTTATTGAAAATCAATTTAATTTTTTTCTTCCCGTTAATTTTAAAAAAATCAAAAAGCTAATTGTACACTCTCATAGTCACTTAGGGCTATCTGATAGTATTTTTAGATTTTCAAATTAGCTGATAATTTGTGAGATACAGAGGCTGAGTTAATTTTTTTAAATACGGACCTGCATTTTTTATTTCAGTTTTTGAAAGAACTCGGTCTCCTGAGTACAAAGATATGCCACACTTTATAATTTTTTTGTGTTTCGGACATTGGAACACAATTTATTTAAATTAATTTCAAGTCCGGCTCTGTTTTTTTTAATATTTAATCTATTCATCGTTACAATATTGATAAGCCTTCAAACTTAACAATGACGTGGGGTAAAATATTGAATACGGAAAATAAAATGCAATAAAAATAAAAAATCCAAACCAAATCAATATTTTTCAACATTTACAATAAAGAGTACAAAATGCATTTGGAAGTATAAAAAGATGTTCAAAGAACTATAAATAAAATTGAACGAATAATAAATGTGTGCAATAAGAAGGGTGGTAACCCTTTCAAACATATGTAGAGCATTAGAAACTATAGTTTGTAGAAGTTGATTTATTTATAACAACTACGATAAATATTATGCATATTATTAGATCGTACACTGACATTTCAAATTCACAATAAAAAAAAGTTAAAAATAATATCTTTAAATTGCTGACCTGGATATTATTTATATGAATCTTTCAATTGGCTCTATTTTCCTTATTCAATGGTAATTAGCGCTTATCAATATTGTCGCGATGAATATAATCAGATTATATAATTTAAAAAACCAGAGTCGGACTTCAAATTATTTTAAATAGGTAATAATTAAACAGTTTTTTTGTTGTTAAGGCACCCAAAACAAAAAAAAATGTATAGAGTGTGGCATATCATTGTACTCAGGAGTCAGGAGATCGAGTTCTTTTAAAACCCGAAATAAAAAATGCAGGTCCGTATTTAAAAAAAATAAGTTTGTGTCATCTCTCGTGGGGAGAATCCTCCCGTAAAAATATGATTTATTTTTATATCAACATAGATCCGATTCTGTTTTGTTTCGTAGCAACAGGGGTTTAAAGTCTTCTTTTTTTCGATTTATTATAATTTTCTTCCAAGCTCTTTTAGCAATTCGAATGAAATTTTGATGGTAAAAGTAAAAGAAAATTGGTATTTAAAAATTGTTAATTTGTTAATTATACCAATTTAAAACACATCCAAAGTGTACACTTTTTAAGTGAACAAATAACAAAATGGTTAACTAGTAACGCAAAAAAATATGTTTGTGTTAGATGATTAATCGTTGTTTCTCTTTTTTAGGTAAAAGCTGCTTTAACTGTTTTGTTAAACATTATTGGAACATTATATCAGACAAAATGGAATATAATCTTCGAATAAAAGTTTGGAACACAGTTGAAATTCAAAATTTTTTGTGATTATACGGTGTTGTATTTGAGAACAGATGTTATTACTTTTCATTCAAAGATTTTCGTAAGAATAAAATAAAGTATAGTAGTAATATAAGTACAGTTATGTATGTTATGATGTTTCAATGCTTTGTTGTGTTTTTAATATTTTATAGTACGAAATTAATCGATCGTAATATTAAATTTGTTACAATTTGTGTGTTGGACATTCTACACCAAATTAACTAATTATTCATCTGTTGATTAAAAAAATTAACGACATTGTAACATAAAATTTATAGCACTTTAATTATTTTTGGTTTAATTATATGGTCTGTATATTTTCAATTTAATATTTAAGTTGAATTTTCCATTGTCCACCATAATGCTTATGACCTTTACATTATTTGTATTTATAGAACACCTGACTCTGACGTGCAATTATTTTGTCATAATCTACTAAGCTTGCTTGAGTCCCTACCCTTAAAAAGCAAATTAATTTTGTGTGGTGATCTTAATATTGACTTTCTTAGTGTATGTGCTGCTCAGGACTTTCTTCAGTCCATTTTTGATTCTTTTGGAATAGCCATGCATGTAGGCTCACCTACCAGAATATCCAATACCAGTTCTAGTACTATAGACTATGTTGTGTCATCTTTTGATCCTAAATCCATCGCCTGCAACGTCTTTAGCTCGGGTCTCTCTGATCATGAAGCAGTTTTAACTGCATTTTCGTTGAAGTCCAAAATCAAAAATGCCCCTCCTAAATTATACCGTATTTTTTCAGAGAAGAATGCTCAAAAGTTCAGCCACTTATGTAAAACAACCAACTGGGATACTAGCTCTTTTGATGTCGACACCGAATTTTCTATTTTCGTAAAAACATTAACCAGTCTAGCGTTCAAATCCTTTCCTCTTAGGCCTATAAAAAATAAGCATAATAAACCTTGGACCACTAAAGGTCTATGCATATCTTCTAAAAACATGCGTTCATTATCTCACTTAAAAAAATTCTCAGAGAGTCTCTTCTTCCACAATTACGTAAAACTATACAGAAAAATTTATCATAAGACTATATTTATTATAATAGGAGAATAGTCAATTCTGGTAATGTTGCTAAAGAAACATGGTCTATTGTGAATGAGTTGAGAAACAAAGCTTCTTCGTCTAGCAATATCTCTACCTCACCTGAGAACCTTAACGATTACTTTGTAAATGTAGCGAAAAACTTAACTAATACCATATGTCCTCCTCATGATCCGCTTTCTTATCTCTCTAATGATATTGTAAACTTACACAGTTTCTTTTTTTCGCCCGTAGTTTTAGAAGAGCTTCGCAGTACAATTAATACCATCAAAAATAAATCCTCTTGTGGGACCGACGGGCTAACTTTAAAAATGTTTTCGAATCTGCCAGAAAGCACTCTGAATCACCTAACAACTTTACTAAACGTTTTAAACATGTCGTTCCAAAATGGTATTTTTCCAAGACGGCAATAATCATTCCTCTGCATAAAGGAGGAGACAAAGATGAAGCTTCTAACTATCGCCCAATTGCACTCCTTCCAACGCTATCTAAGATCATAGAAAGGTTGGTTAAAAGAAGGCTGGTATCTTTTCTGTTTAAGTACAAAATACTTACTGAATATCAATTTGGATTTCTAAACAACAAGTCCACAAATGACGCTATGTTTTCCCTCCTTAATAAAGTTTACTCCAGCCTAAACAATCATCATTCTACAGCAACAATTTTCTAAGGCGTTCGATTGTGTAAATCATAAGATCTTAATTAATAAACTGCAGCACTATGGGTTCAGGGGATCATCTTTCGAATGGTTTAAGTCGTATCTGAGCAACAGAAGTCAACTTGTGAGGGTGGATACCACGTTGTCTTCTAGCAAGCCAATAGAATGTGGAGTACCACAAGGCTCAGTACTAGGCCCTATTTTGTTTCTTCTTTTTATTAACGACATTGCTAACATAAACATCAGTGGCAAAATATGTCTTCTTGCGGAC